ATCCATCTATCCATCCATCTCTGCATCCATCTATGCATCTTTCTATCAATCTATGCATCAATTTTTGCATCTATCTATGCATCCATCTATCCATCCATCTATGCATCTTTCCAGCATCTTTCTATCCATCTATGCATCTTTCTATCATCTCTATCAATCCATCCATCTATGCATTCATCTATCCATCCATCTATGCATCTTTCTATCCATCTATGCATCTATCCATCCATCTATGCATCTTTCTATCCATCTATGCATCCATTTTTGCATCTATCTATGCATCTATGTATACATCTATCTATCCATCTATGCATCTTTCTATCTATCTAGGTATTTATCAAGCATCCATCTATCCGTCTATGCATCTATATATTCATCTATGCATCTATGCATTCATCTATCCATCCATCTATTTATATATACATCTATCTATACACCTAGTCATCTATCAAGCATCTGTCTATCCATCGATGCATCTATCCATCCATCTATCCATTTAATAGATAGATGGATGGATAGATAGATGATTGATGGATAGATGGTTGCATAGATTCTCTATGCATCTATTTATCTATTACCTATCTATCCATCCATCAGTTTAATCTTATGTAATTTAATGTTTCAGGCAATGCAAAGAAAAGCAGCTCTAAGAAAATGAGGCCATCAGACAGACCCAGCAGGAACCTGCAGGATGTTCCTGTTCATGCGTCGCTGGAGGAAATCAAACAGAGAAAAGTGCTGGACCTCAGGAGATGGTAACACTATGTTGTCTGGGCTATTAACTCTTTTCTAGTGCTTCGCAGAAATCTTTTGTATAATTTGAGCATTTTTCCCCTTAAGGCACTTTGCTGCCACAGCTGGGGATGTTTTTTATTAGGATTTATTGTGTAAAGTAAACTTTTTGGTCTTATCTGATCAGAGCATCTTCTTCCATATCTTTGCCCGTGAAAACAACAAATTCAACTTTTTACAGCTTTCTAGTAGCTCCTTTTCTATCAGGAGGCTAAATTTGTAATCACCTTTGACTTGTCAAGAGTAGACTGGAGAAAAAGTATCACCCTTTCCATGTTATAAATCATGAAAAGGCATCTAATTTTTCTTTATTATTGATTACTTTGTGTCATTTATACGGAAGAGGAATAGGGCCACTGAAAAAATAAAAAAAAGTTTACTAATTTTTAAAAAAATATTTCAGTTTAATATGGGGAAAAAGTCAGAATACTAACTTTAATCTCAGAATTCTGACTTTTTTTTCCAGAATGTTGGATCTTAATGTAGATGGGCACCATGAAGGAAGAGATGTGGGAGCATTCAGCTTCACTGACAAAGATGTGAGTTGTTTGGGAGGGCCAGTAACACATTGGTGGAAAATGACGGAATTAGGTGACTTTTTATGTTCTTGAGGGCCCCCCGGTGATACTGTATTATTTCATTAATGGAAGAGCAGAAGGTGATTAAAACAAGAGAGGTAGTTTAGTCTCTAAAACAGACACGGCTACGGCTTGATGCTAACATGTTTGTTAGTTGTCAGAATTCAGTCAGATTCAGAGAAAAAAGTCAGAATTCTGACTTTTTTGTCATATTATACTGAAATAAAATTAAAATAGTTAACCTTTTTTATTTTTTCAGTGACCCTAATCCTCTTCCGTACATTTATCACAGGAAACCCCACGCTAATATGTTGAAGTCTGTGGTTAAGACTTGAAAAAAAAATTAGCTTTTGGGATTATTATTTTAACATTGTTAAGACTTTAAATAGGTCAGTTTCAGAACTAATGTTCAGATTAGTGAAAGCGTCATATCTTTTCAAAACCAGATTGTAGATTGATCAATTTGGATAAAATATGAATTTCTTTATCCATCAAAGTTTTTTTTTTTGCCTTCCTGTTTTTCTATCTCTACAATTGAGGCTGAGGATGAAGTCGACAGTTAATGCTATAAGGGCAAATTCAAACATATTGATATGACCCAGAATGACCTCATGGATCTCTTTAAGATTCAATAAATGCAGTTTAGAAAAGTTTTTTTGCAAGTACTACTCCTGTCTTTACTAAGACATTAAAACAAGTTAAACAAGTCAGGATGAAAATCTGCTTTCGTTTGAGCTGTTCTACTGCTTTTATAATAAATCTACAGATCTGAGGATTTACTGGACTTTCAGGAGCTAATCTGTTGAAAATGTGAAAAAAGGTTTGTCTAAAAAAATGTTTTTTTTGTTTTTTTTTTTCAAATGAAAAAATTTTGAACCTGAAAGGAAAAAAAAAAAGAAACCTAAATAAAAAAAAAGTGGGTTCAAAAGAAGTTTAAAGTCTGAAAAACAAACGTTTGTTCGAAGGAAATACTTTTCAGATTCAAGTTTTTTTGTCTTTCATACTTAAAAATAAAACTAAAGATCAGAAAAGTAGTTTATCTCTTGAACAAACGTTTATATATTAGGTTTACATTTTTTTTTCTTTGTAAACAGTTTAAAAAAAAATTGCACACACATTTTTTTAGGTATGACTTTATTTCATTTTGATGTTTTTTCTTTTTTTAGTTCTTTTTTTTTTAAACAAACTTTATATCCCCAATTTAGCTCCATAGCCTCTTCTCTGCAGGTACTGCATCAGTCGGCCTCAGTACAAGACTTCCTGTGGTATCTCCTCTCTGGTGTCCTGCTGGAACTTCCTGTACAGCACTCTGGGTGCAGGAAGGTGAGCAGCTCTTCACACTTTCATTATCTCGTTCTGATAGATTTCCAATCAGAAGAACTGAATTATGTTTGGACACATCTTTAGACTACCGTCCTCACACAAAGGTTCTAGTAAACAGCTGGCATGAAAAGAATTATAGCTTATTTTTTAATAACCGGACGACTTCCAGTGCTATTTGCAGGCCTGGACTCATTTGTTGCTAACTTTATGGCTCACTGAAACATTATTTCACTCATCAATAGTTTAAAAAAAGTGAAGTGGTAAAAAAAAAACAATAAGCAATCCAATTAAAATGGTCGGTTTTCAGTATTTTAAACAGACTTCACACTATCTGGGTGAAATAAAAGCAAAAGGTGTTAAAGTTAATTGTTGAAACGGCTCTCTTACCTCGTTTTTCCCTTGTCCAGTCTGCCGCCCATCTCTCAGGAGGAGGCGCTGCACATTCTGGGCTTCCAGCCGCCATTTGAGGACATCAAGTTTGGCCCCTTCACAGGCAACGCAACATTAATGCGGTACCTTTTCCCTCTTCTTCCTTTTTTAAGCTATCAAACTAAATAAAATCTTTTTTTTTTTTTTACACCTTTATAATCACACCTCTTGTAACGTGTTTTTTTTTTCTAGGTGGTTCAGGCAAATTAATGACAATTTCCGCGTGCGAGGATGCTCCTACATTTTGTACAAACCTCACGGCAAACACAAGACAGCAGGAGAAACAGGTGAGTCTGCCGTGTGCTGACTGTGATTTAGAGGTAAGCTTAGAGGATTTAGAGCTGCTCTTTGTTCTTTAGCTGAAGGCGCGCTGATGAAGCTGACTCAAGGCTTGAGGGATGAGTCCATGGCCTACATTTACCACTGTCAGAACCATTACTTCTGCCCAGTGGGCTTTGAGGCTACGCCGCTGAAAGCAGCTAAAGCTTACAGGTTGGTCATGTTACTGAACTTTTTCTAATTGGTAGAAGGATGCCAGATGGTCAGTTAGAGCTTCCAAAAGTCGACCCAGAGATGTTTGGTGAAGTGTGTGTCAATAGAGATGAAGATCAGCTTCTGTTCTGTGTGAAGGGGTCCTCTAGCCACCAATGAAATGGAGCACTGGATCCTAATCGGTGAACCCAGCAGAAAACATCCAGCAATCCACTGTAAAAAGTAGGTTTCTGTTTTGTTTTTTGTTTTTTCTGAGTGAATTTAATAGCCAGTTATGAATTTAATAGCCAGTTATGAATTTAATAGCCAGTTATGAATTTAATAGCCAGTTGTGTCCTGGCTGCTGAACAGAACCTCCTCTGTACAGGTGGTCAGACATCGTGACCGACCTCAATACGCAGAACCCTGAATACCTGGACATCCGCCACACAGAGAGGGGGATTCAGCGCCGTAAAACCAAGAAGGTCCCTGTTCTTTTCCTTCCTTCCTTCCTTCCTTCGCAGATTTTTACCAGGACTTTATTCTAATATTGATATCAGAAATCGATCCAATAAATGCCAGAAAATTAATCATATAATTTGCATATTGTAGATAAATCAACATTAGTGAGATAACAGAAGATTAAAAATTCTGAAAACAGGTTTAAAACTTAAACGTTTTCCAGAAGGTTATTTAAACCTGAACTGAAATTATATATATATTTATGTTTTCCAATTGATCTTAAAAGTTAAAAGGAGGCACACAGTGTGCAAATTTAGATCCCCCTTTTTTAATTCAGGATGCATCAGTTTGAGCATGCGTGACTGCAGACAGGGTTTGCAGCGTCTGACTTGCTGTCAGTGTTTTGAAGGCTTGCAGCGGCTCACTGAAGACACTAAACTCAACTGCTTTCATGTTATCAAGAAAGTCTCTACAAGACAGGAACTGATTGCTACATTTGTCGCTAGTACCTTTTTGAAAAAAAGAAAAATTGCTCAGAAAATTCACTAAATACAGAAACTTGGCAGTAATGTGTTCCCTTTTGTGCTGGGTTCCTGTTTTCACTCTGCTTCTCATGTGTTTATGTGCAAATAAGGAAGTATCTGTGTTTATAAACACGTTCCTGTGGCTCTTATACTTATGAAAAGTCATCGGCATTTCCAATGTAATTCTAAAAGTTTCGGTGAAATAAGCATTTGTGCTAAAACACTGGGGAGGGAACCCAGATATCAGTCAAAGGAACGTAAAAATTAGCACAATGACAGGATTTTCAGCATAAAAATTAGTTTTTTTAGACATAATTGCCCATTACACTGAAATACGCTGCTTAGATCCCTGATATCAGTATCTATCTGTACTCCAGCATCTATGCTAGAGTATGGGTATCATACTGGTAATGAAAAAGTTTAACTCGACTTCTCGATAACCTTCTCAGCATCGCTTTAATCCCGACCTTCTAATCATTTTTTGTAGTTCTTACATGTTTCAAATGGTACTCAATGATATTTTTGATGACAAGCTCTCAGTGTTTGAGGTTAGAGGGCCTCCTTGCCATCACCCTAATCTTTAGCTCCCTCACATCCAATAAGAAGAAAAGTGTTTTTAATATTAAAAATACTACTTTAACTCTGAATCTACCGTAGGTATGAATCTTATAGCCTTTAGCTTTTTCAGGTTCCAAATTTAACGCCTGAAGAGTGGAAACGTATTATATTATATTTACATGCTTCCTATGGTGCTGTTCTACAGGTGGGGGGTAACCTGCACTGCATCATGGCTTTCCAAAGAGTGAACTGGCAGAAGCTCGGCCCCTGGGCTCTAAATCTGGAGAACCTGCGGCACGACTTCCACCACTCCGGCCCAGATCGTTCCCACGGCAGCGGGGCCGAGGACTCGGAGGAGAGGACGGCGTCCAAGCGGCTGTCCCAGCTGGGACGCTCACAGAGCATGGGCAGCCAGAAGGACACCTGCAGCTGGAAACGGCTGTCCAACACGACTGAGTACAGACAGAGGAGCTCCCCTGATAGTGACCTGGAGGAGGACATCACAGACTGAGGTGGTGGGAGTGGGACATGATGGCGGACGACACAACGAACAGGGCCGAGGTTCGGGTAGGATGGGCCTCTTAAAAACACGCAAGGCGTTGATTCAGCTCATTGTTTTAATATTTATGGGGACATTTATAATAAATGTTACGCCTCTGTTAGTGTTGACTTCATCACCTCTTGTTTTTTCCCGCTGTCATATTTCCAGTTTCAGGAGCGACATGGATATTAGCCTTTATGCAGCTTCAAATATTTGCACTAAATAATCTTGGTACTACCAAAGGATTTATTACAAATCAAACAAGAAAGACAGATTTTAGGCTCTAATATGTATCTAATCAGTTGGAAAATCACAAATTTGATCTTCAGGGGGGTCAATGATTTTATATGGGGGCAAAGAACAAAAGATTGACTTAAATAAACAGAAAAATGGCATTTTGTAGTTTATTAAGTGAGCCACACAACTGTAATTTCAGTTCTTTCTGAAACAAATATTCAAGTAAATTGTAGAGTTGAAACTTAAAGTTTGTCTAAGGGACGAAACAGTTATGGTATCGTTTGTCATCGTTAGAGGTGTGGGGAAAAAATTGTTTTGGCGATTATTGGCTGCCTGATATAATACCAATCTTTCATTTCCTAGAATCAATTTTTAAAAAAAACAAAAGATTTTAAACTAAACTATGAGGGAAAATGGGCTACCTCTGCACCGCCACTCTGACAGATAGTGCTGTGGGTGCAGCGCCATTTCTGTAGGTGAGGCGGTCACAGTGGAAGACATGGACTGACTCACACCTCAAAACAACATGGCTACCAAAATAATTAAATGATCAATATCTCCTGATGAACATTTTCCGCACTTGCTCTTTTATATATAAACATTTCATTTTGATAGGTGGGAAAATATCGCAATATATATTGCAATATTGTGATAATATCGTATCGTGATCGAACTATTGTCCTACTTTTCGTATCGCAACACCCATGCAAATATTCAGCCCCAGTCATCATCATAAGAAACTGATTTAGCATTACACTGCAAAAAATGATCTAAAAAAGTTAAAGTTTCTTAAAATCGGCGTATTGAGCAGGTAAATCAGAGGATCTGCCAAAGGAAGGAGGATTTTGGTCATTAGATATGGTGCAATTGAAATAAGACGATACTTATCTTTACTGTTTGAAAATAAATCATCTTATTTCATCTGCAAATTGTAGTAACTGCTTAAATTGAGGTGAAAATGACTTAACCCTAACCCTTTGATTATGTTTTTTAGTACAGGGGCCATGATGGTCATATATATCAGCTCTAGTTGGTTGCACTGACAAAGACTCTCTTCATTGGGAAAGTCATAATATATTTTTATACCTCCTTATGGTTAATTTAGAAAAAAGAGAGAGCATATAGCAGATAACAGGAAGGCTAAAATGAGGTGTACATTTTCTGGAACAGAGGTTACCAAAGCCACAAAAAACTACTAGAACAGAATCATGACTAAAACTATTGGATGAAATATAAATGTTCCAAAAAACATCCTTTAATCATTGATTGACAAACACAACAACCAATGTATTTTTTGTTTGTTTGTTTCTTTTAACACATATATGATTTGTTATTATTATTATTATTATTTTGATCATATTCTTTTTTCTTTTTTTTTTATCTGATTCATTTTGAAGATCTCAGGACCCCATATTTGCTTATCCATGACCCAAACTTTGGGAATTATTGACACTCTGTTGTTTTATTGTGCTAGCTATGGTAAGAAGTACGTCCAAACTCTGATCTCTTTAATTGTCTAAGTCCTCCAGGGACACTCTATTTTAAAGGAATAAGTGGACTGTGGTATGTGGCGGTGAGTTGATATTTATCACAATAAAAACAAAGACTTTTCTTCAACAAGCATTTCAGTCTGTGACGTCAAAAATAACAATGCAACACACTGGTGACCCCTGAAAAACACACAAGATTACTTCATGCTTAATGTATTTATACATATAAAGGAAAGTAATTCTATTCATTTTTAAAATACATTTATTTTTAAAGATATTTAATTATTTAATAAATGTATTTCCAGTTACTTAATGGGGCATTTCATTATTTAACTGTTAAAAATATCCATATTTTAAAGGTGTTTGTGTTGGTTAAATCATGTATTAGATAAATTAGTACAAGTTATGTCTACTTATTTGATGGGGGAGTTATATTTATATATTTGAATATACACTGCTCCAAAAATAAAGGGAACATGTAAACAACACAATATAACTTAAATTAAATCAAACTTATGTGAAATCAAACTATCCGCTTAGGAAACAACACTGATTAAAAATCAGTTTCACATGCTGTTATTCAGTTTCACAGACTCTATTCAGTTCAATTCAGTTTATTTCTATTCCGCCAATTCAAAACACGTCAACACGTCATCTCAAGGCACTTTACAGTTCACCATATCATACAGTCAAATTGATTCAAATTTTTATAAGGAAAACCAGCTGATTGCATTGACTCATTGACTCGAGTTCAATCCCTCACACTAAGCATGCTTGTAGAGACAGTGGGGAGGAAAAACTCCCTTTTAACAGGAAGAAACCTCCAGCAGAACCAGGCTCGGTGTGAGCGGCCGTCTGCCGAGGCCGACTGGGGTTTAAGGAAGCAGCTCTACAAGCCTTAGAAGTGGCTCAGGTAGTGCAGCTCATCTAGTTGGCTTAAGCAGTGTAGTGTCCTCAAGTTGGAGATTGCACAATCAGGAGACAGGTTAGTACAGCAGGAGATGTGGAGGAGGGCAACAACCAAGCAGCAGGACCGCTAGCTCCGCCTTTGTTCAAGGAGGAACAGGAGGAGCCCTGCCAGAGCCCTGCTAAATGACCTACAGCAGGCCACCAATGTGCTGGTATCTGCTCAAACGGAAACCGACTCCAAGAGGATGGTATGAGGGCCTGATGTCCACAGATGGGGGTTGTCCTCACAGCCTAACACCATAAAGGACACTTGGCATTCACCAAGATTGGAAAATTTACCACTGGCACACTGTTGTCTTCACGTATGAAAGCAGGCTCACACTGAGCACATGTGACAGAGACTGTAGACACAGTGGAGAGAGATCTGCTGCCTGCAACATCCTTCACAACTGGTTTGACAGTGGGTCATTAATGGTGTGGGGTGGTATTTCTTAGGAGGGCCACACAGCCCCCCATGTGCTCGCCAGAGGTAACATGACTGCCATTAGGTATCAAGATGAGATCCTCAGACCCCTGTAAGACCATATGCAAGTGCTGTTGGCCCTGGGTTCCTGCTACTGCCGGACAATGCTAGACCTCATGTGGTTCCTGGAAGATGAAGCGATTGAAACTATGGACTGGCCCGCCTGTTCCCCAGACCTGAATCTGATTGAGCACATCTGGAACATCATGTCTCGATCCATACACCAACATCACATTGCACCACAGGCTGTCCAGGAGTTGGTGGATGCTTTATTTAATGAGAATATTTCATTCATTCAGATCTAGGATGTGTTATTGGGGTGTTCTCTTTGTTTTTTTGAGCAGTTATATATTTCTTCCCTGAGGGAGAACATCATGATAATTTTTAAAACCCCTCACTTTGGCAACCCCTGTTCCACTGAACCTGATCAGAGAGTGAAAGGAAATGAGAACTGAATTGGTAAAAGAACAGCCACTAGGTGGCAATATTTGTTAGTAAGTCCTTAAATGTTTGTTCCTTTTTTTTTTTTAATCAAATGCAGCAATTTCTTACATTGGTGCAAACATGGTCAGATTTTTATGTAATAAAGAGTGATTTATTGATGGATAAAAAGATCTTATGTTTTGAGTGTTTGATGGATCAATGTTTTTAAAGCTTAAAAATTGTTTTTTTAAATCATAAAAATGTGTTTTTTGTTTTGAATGTTGGCAAAATGCCATTAACATGCTGCTGCCCATTCTCATGTCCTTCCTCTCCTTATTATAGATATAGACACATCTTAACATCATTCCAGTTTCTTCTTTTTACTAGACGCTCACCACAGTAGTACTGTCTGCATCATATCAAGCGGTTCCTCGCTAGAAAACGCACAACAGCATCATCACAACCCCTTAGTGTGCTGTACAGGTAGAGTCTGTGGAAATGTCCCCCGCCTGGTTCACAGTGGTTAGTTTAGTGGAAATGGTGTCCAAAGTTTTGTGAAAGCAGCGATGTTCTACTGTGATTTGTGAATCCTCAGTAACTGATGAGTGGCTTATCATGTTATTTTGTTGTTTTTTAAGCAAAGAGCTGTACATACATGACATATCTTAAAAATGTGATCTTGAGCTTCATTTCTGTCAACACAATGCTCGATTTTTTATTCAGTTAGCTACTTTGTGATACCATCTGGGTTCCAGTGAGTTCAGATGGAGTTAAGCAGGTCTATCCCAGTGAGTTTGTTTTGCAATAAAATCAGTTTTTTTTGTAACACTGTGAAGCCATTTTTTTTCAACCTGTACAAAAATATTAATATGTCTCCTCAACATCTAGACTATCACAAGGTTGTGTATAGTAGGAAAGTGGAAGGTAAATCAAACCTGTTAAACATTGAAATAAGAGTTTTTGAAGGGTTTGATGTGCCTTTATATTCAGCTCCCATAAGGCAACACTTTAAACAATTTTAGAATATCTCAACCTGTTTTTCATATATACATACGGAGGAGGATTAGGGCCACTGAAAAAGTGAAAAGTTAACTGATTTTAATATTTTATTTCAGTTTAATACAGGAAAAACGTCAGAATTCTGACTTTTTTCTCATATTATACTGAAATAAAATGTAAAAATCAGTTAACTTTTTTTATTTTTTCAGTGGCACTAATCCTCTTCCGTAGAATTCTGACTGAATTCTGACAGCTAACAAACATGTTAGCATCAAGCTGTAGCCATGTCTGTTTTAGAGACTAACTACCTCTCTTTTTTAATCACCTTCTGTTCTTCCATTACTGAAACAGCATCACCAGGGACCCCTCAGGCACGTAAAAAGTCACCTAATTCCGTCATTTTCCACCAATGTGTTACTGGCCCTGCCAAACAACTCACATCTTTGTCAGTGAAGCTGAGTGCTCCACATCTCTTCCTTCAGGGTGCCCATCTACATTAAGATCCAAAATTCTGAGAAAAAAGTTCTGCCTTTTGTCCCACATTAAACTGAAATAATATTTAAAAATTAGTTAACTTTTAGTTTTCAGTGGCCCTAATCCGCTTCCGTACATCCAGACTTCTACTCCTCCATCAAAACCCTGAAGAAAGTTCTGATGACAATTATGCTGAAGGATTTATACAGCAGGTGTGTTTAGGTTTCAACTGAATGTTAAAATCTGTTACACAGTAAAATAAGCAGAAATAATTACGCTTTAAAAGTGTTAGCTTTGGGATTTTAAATGTTATTTTATTTTATTGCAGGATTCTTTACTGCAGTTGAATCTAAAGGGGGGACCACCAAAGAAATTTGAGCTTTAATCATGAATAAAGACACTCTTGGGAGTAAAAGGAGTTTAAGAAACCGAGAGAAAAACATAGTTTTTCCAAATGGGACTTTATTGAATTTTATATGAAGAAAAACTTTTAAATTAAATTCTGTAAAGCTTCAAGCATTCCTCGTGGCGAATCAAACAGGGAAATTTCAGAGGAACGTTCAGGATCCTCTGTAATAATATTATAATATACAGCAGGAGTTTTATTTAGAATTATTCATCGGTTTTTGCAACATGCAACAGTTTGCTGGTTGAATCTGAGGATGTGTTGCCTCCTTTTAACTGCTGCCTTAATGCTGCGATGTGAGCCGGACCGATGCGGCAGCAGCCACCTGGAGCATAGAGAGCTGAAGCTCAGAGAAAGTCCTGTGAAACTGGTCATGAATGAGGCGAAAAATTGATCTCACCTAGCAGAGCTGCACCCTGCTCCACCCACGTGTGACTCAGCTCAGGCCTCCATCCTGCAGTCTGATCTGATTTCAGCCATCTTTGTGTGAGAAGGGGAAAAACAGATTTTTTTGTTGAATGTAGCTCTTAGAGCCAGAGAAGAGTAGCACCTCCCCCACAGACTCACCCCTGCTCAGTGTCCCAGTCCTCCCCGCTGTTTGGGTACACCACCCAGCTCACGTCGGGCGCCAGTGCCGCCCTGGCAGAGTTTAGGAGCGGCTCCACCACAGCCGGATGGCAGCAGTTGACCCCCACGGCGAGCAGCTGAGGGGACCTGCAGGCGGTCTGCACGGCATCTATGAACGGGCTGCCGTCTGAAATGTGTTTCTCATCCTGACGATATTTTTGGTCAAGAAAAAAAAAAAATCAAGTCATTCTGGGTTTTTAATTTTCTTCCTCACCTATGGCGTTTAATTTTCTATTTTCTTTACCAACAATTCAATGAGTGATAATTCCTTTTACTGTTTTCTAAGCCCACCATTCTTCCCACAGGTTTTCTCATTTTGGTAATTTAAGTCTTATATGTACGTTTTTCCATTTTCTATATTTCTTCCCCTATTATTTCAAATTATGCAGGTGGAGGAGTTGACATTATGCCATTTCCAGGTAGTTGCCTTTTCTGATGCTGCCGACAGGATCTTTATCAAACATTGGTCCTTTCTTGAGTCGTACCTTCTGCTAAGTATCCCAGATATAGAAGTATACATGTTTTAGGTACCTTATATTTCTTCTGTACATTGCCAAAATATGTGCAGTTATAAAACACTGAAAGCTGTTTTAAAAATGTCACAATATATTTGCAATTAAATCTTTTCCATATTCCATCTATCCATCTTCTTCCTCTTATCCAGGGTCGGGTCACGGGGGTAGCAGCTTCAGTAGGGAGGCCCAGACATCCCTATCCACTTGGGCCAGCTCCTCTGGGGGAATCCCAAGGCGCTCCCAGGCCAGCCCAGAGACACAGTCCCTCCAGCGTGTCCTGGGTCTCCCCCTGTGCCTCCTCCTGGTGGGACGTGCCTGGAACACCTCACCAGGAGGCATCCTAACCAGATGCCCGAGCCACCTCAGCTGGCTTCTCTCGATGCGGAGGAGCAGCGGCTCTACTCTGAGTCCTCCCCGGATGACTGAGCTCCTCACCCTGTCTCTAAGGGAGAGTCCAGACACACTACGGAGAAAACTCATTTCAGCCGCTTGTATCCAGGATCTCGTTCTTTCGGTCACGACCCAAAGCTCGTGACCATAGATGAGGGTAGGAACGTAGATCGCCTTGTAAATCGAGAGCTTTGCTTTTTGGCTCAGCTCTCCTTTTACCACAACAGACCGATACAGGGTCCGCTTCACAGCAGACGCCGCACCAATCCGCCTATCGATCTCGCGCTCCACCTTCCCCTCATTCATGAACAAGACCCCAAGATACCCAAACTCCTCCACTAGGGGGGAGTATATCCTCTCCAACCCGGAGAAGGCACTCTACCCTTTTCCGGCTCAAGACCATGGTCTTGGATTTGGAGGCACTGATCCTCATCTTTTCCATATTCCTGAACACAAATCTAACAGCACATGTCAATGGTTATTTCCACCTTAAATGATTTTTCCCATCTATCTCCTATGCATAACATTGTAGTCTTGCTGTTAGCTGTTATTAATTATCCTTTTATGTTCTTACATCCATTCCCAAATATTTCCGTGATTGCATTTATTTCACCCGGGAGACCTGGTCGTATTTCCTTTTGATAATAACCTTAGATCTGAAGATAAATTTCAAATTCTTGTTTATCTGAATCAAACTCTTGTTTGTAAAGTCTATTAACTTTTAATCTCTCCTCCTTTTATTCGTTTGAATATTGTAGTCAACCCCTTATTTGACCATTCCTTAAGATTTTGAGTCAATAGTTCCTGGTTTAATTTTTTTTACAGTGTCTCAACCAACTAAAAATCTTAATTTCGTTCTTAATTTTACATTTTTTAACTATTGTGACAATGTGCTGTCACACTATGAAGCTGTGTGGTAACTCTTACATTTTTCATTTTCAAAATGAGTTGCACATTTCATATATTTTCATTAGCCTGACTAAGTTAGCTTTTTGCAGTGCACACATTTAGTTAACTTTATTTGTCAGGTTGTTGTTGTTTTTTTTGTCAAGATGCAATTGATTAATTTCTTTTTTCTTTGCGTTGCAACTTTCCTTGGGATACGCTGATGGAGGGCTGCAATGAGCTTCAGCTTTCCTCAATTGGTTGCAGGCTAATCAGTGCGTCAAACCATTTGTAATGGGAAAGGAAATTTGTTTATCATTTGTTTAAATATTCTTAGTTTGGGTAATTTTGTTAATTAGTTAAATTTAAAAATTATTTAGTGTCTGGCCAGTATTTATCTGTTTAACTAAGTTTATTTGTTTATTAGTTTGTTAGTCAGTTAGCTATCATCCCCCTTGTTTGTCAACAGTGGTCTGATCAGCCACTATTTAAGTTTCCCTCATGTCCTGTTTGTTAGGTCAGTTTGTGGTTGAGTTTTTTATGTTAAAGCCTGAATTGAATTCTGTTTTTGGGCCCAGTTTATATATTTTTTAAACATTTTTGGAATAAATTAAGACTTTTTTTGAAAAATTTCAGTGGTTTTCTGGCTGGTTTGTGCAAATCCCTAACACTATTGAGAAGCGGGTCTCCAAGGTGAAATAGATGAGGGGGTCTAAATCTTTTAAAAGATGTTCTTATTGATAATAACAGCCTTCATTAAGCCTTTCTCTGGATGTTGGGATTTGAAATTGAAATCAATAGCAGGTCCTCCCTACCTTACCTTACAGGAGAAGGACAGCCAGGCGTTACAGTCAGGGAACTCTCTCAGCAGCTCCACCACAGCCTGAGCCTCTTTGATACTCGGGATGGTCTCAAAAGCAATGAGGTCTGCGCCTGCTGCTGCTAAGCACTCCACCTGTGCTTTATGCCACACTTTGAGCTCCTACAGAAAAAAACAGATGGTGGCCTTTCTCTTATCAAATAAATACACTGCAGGAATGAGTAAACATTTATACAAATAAGCGTATTTACCCTTAAAAAAAGATGGTTAGATATTATGCACTTGAAATGAGAGACTGCAGATGTTTTTTTCTATTTTAAATGTAAATTGTCTTATTTCATTGGCAAAGTGTTGTACCTACCTGCTCAATTCAAGAAAAATGCACGTATATTAAGAAAAAATTACTTATTTAGATTTCAAATTTCTGCAGTGAACTTCTTCACATTTTGTTAAATTAAGTAAAAGAGTAAATTGAGGTTTTCTGTGTCAGATTAATGGAAGTGGAAGGCAAGGATTAAATCGTTTTACATTTTCGTCCACCTGGTGATTAAAAATGGTGGTTGCAGCATAAATCTAAGGGGTGCTTTTTTCCCAAGCAGTTGCAGTGAGGCTGGTCAGAACTGATGGGACAATGAACTGATTACAAAGAAATACATACAGGAGAAAAACTATTAGCGGCTGCAAAAGACTTGAACCGGGGAACGGAAAATGGCACTGAACATATTTACCCTTGATTTGAGCAGGTAAATAAGGTGATCTGCCAATGGAATGAGTATTTTTACTCTTAAAATAAAATAATTAGATAATATGCACTTAAAATGAGACAATGCAGTTGTTTTCTTCTTATTTTAAATGTAAATGGTCTTATTCCAGTGGCAAAGTATCTCCCTCTCCTCTTCAATTCATGAAAAAATTATTTCTTTTAAGGAAAAATGACTTAGATTTATATTTTTTTGCAGTGCTGAGCGACAGTGGAAGGGTTCAGGTTGAATATTCAGGTGATAGAGTGGCCTAGTCTAAGTTCATACATCAATCCATTTAATACAGAACATCTGGCAAAAAATGTTTCGTCCAGATGTGCAATTAAACATGACATTGACTCAATGGGGATGAAAACGCTGCAAAAAAGGATCTGGAATTAAGTGAACATTTCTTTAAATAAGTGTGATAATCCTTAATTTGAAAAGGTAATGCAACAGGCCAAATAGCAGCTATTAGCATTAGATTACATCTGATTCACATGAAACTTGATTCTTTTACTAATTTTAAACATAAAGCATCTTATCTATTATTAAATTGTCTTACTTCCTTAAGACAAGGAAAAATATTTCCATTTGTAAAAATGATTTAAAACCAAATATAATTTTATTTCTACTTCTATGTGATCTGTTCGATCACATTAGATCTTTAAAGAAAGTTTGTAGTTTTAATATAAAACCTTAGAAATCCCAAAGTTGCAGTAATGCTACAGCAAAGCCAGAAGCCACTCACATCGACGCTCATCTCCTGAGCATAAGCCCCGGAGTACTCTGATCCATCATGGAGAAAGGCTCCGTATGGTCCAACCGAGCCCGCCACCAACACCCGCCTCTCCCCTTAGAGGAACAAACAAAGAGTCTCACAGATTCACTCGGCTCCCTTTTCAAACGTCTCCAAACGCACGAGGTTCGCTACCGGAGACGAAAGCTTTCACCGTCTCCTCGGCCAGATAAACTCCAGACATCAGCAGCTCTCTGGCCTGCTCTGAGCTCAACCCCAGGTGCTGGATGAATCCCTGGATGCTGGCCTGGTACGTTGCCGTGGTGATGACATCAGCACCACTGAGCAGGAACCTGTGGGTGTTTGACAGCCTTTTAATGAGAGAAAAGTGGATCTTTTCTTTATAAACTGTTTGTTTTTTTGTAGATTCAGTGAATAAATAAGTCAGTTATTATTTGGTATAAATTCATCTTTTTTTTTTTTACAGTGGTGAAAAACTTTTTCTGAAAAACTTCCATGATTCACAACTCCTGTATTCCCTTTGTGGAGCAAGAAAAGCAGCAACATCTAATCCAATTAGCCAGTCCTTTTTCTTCTTGACATAAGTGATTTTACCTTCTTTTAAACAGTTAGGTAAGACAATTTACCAATGTAATAAGTTTATACAAAGAAAATAAATAACTCCATTATCTATTTTAATGTGAATAAAATCTAAAAATCTCATTTCAAGGTCTAAAATCCTCATTCCAGGGAAATTTCTACTTATTTTTAGATCTAATTTCCCAGTGCAATCTGCTGCTTTTCGTTCAGTTCAAAAGTTTTCTATAAACCTACTTGTGATGAGCCTCTTTGATGGCCTGGGGATCAGTGTGCAAAAGCCTGGCGCTCCATAAAGGATCCCCCTACAGATGCAGAGACACGTTTCAATCTAGCTTTGAAAATCTATGCATGTTAGGCTGACAGTTAAATACTGAAATACTCAGAGTGCACAATCTCCAGTTATCCTACCTTGTTATGTGGATAATTTCAAAATTTAAGAAAATGTTTAGTTATTAAAAACTGTATTCTGTACTAAAGGGTTTGTTTGTTTTTACAGTATTGGTTCAGACTAAAATAAAAGAAGAAATTAAAATAAAGATCAGATGAGGTGCTACACTGGAAAAATGATCTAGAAATATGTAAAAAAATTCTTACATTAGGTGTAATTACCCTAAATTTGAGCAGGTAAATCAGATGATTTGCCAATGGAATTAGTATTTTTACTCTTAAAATAGGATAATTAGATAACATGCACTTGAAATAAGACAATGCAGTTGTGTTTTCTTATTTTAGGTGTAAATTCTCTTGTTCCATTGGCAAAATGTCTCTTTTATCTCCTCAATCTAAGAACAAATTCTCTAGATTTTGATTGTTTTTTCCAGTGTAAAGCCCTAGGCAGGACTCCTTAACCAAAAAAAAAAAAAACCTGTTATCTAATCTCTCTTTGGGATCAAGAAAAACTTTTTTAATTGAATCTCTGCTTCTAAGAAACAAAGAATGTTTTTAAATATAGGTTCGGTTAAAAAAAAATAACTATTCCACAAAATAAATAATTGAATGCAGCAGACAAATTCAGATGCACAACTTAATTTCCCCAACAGAACCATCACTTGTTAGGAGTTCCAGTCTATAACTTTGGAACACTGCTTCCCTATGCTAAGAGGAGCTGGATTTCTTAAACCATCATCTGCCACAGATTTAGCGCACATGTTTTTTTTTTGTTTGTTTTTTTTTACAAGGTTTATATTCACAAATTTGTATTTTATGTTAATTAATGTTTAATTTGAAGGTTGTGGGAGTCTTTTGGACAAACAACCGATTACTTATTAAAAGTAACTTAAGGCATAAACATACTTTCCAACTCTCCCCATCCAGGCGGGAGACTCCTGATTTTTAATGTTATCTCCTCTGAGCTCCCCATTAGTAATTTATCTTGATAATTCACTTTACGGTGGAAATATGGCCCAGTATCTGGCAACTTGGCAAGAGTTACAGCTGTTTTAATTTCTTTTTATATTTGTATTTTTCATTGTAAAATGCTTACTGTTGTGTTTTTTAGGTAGATAATTTTAAGATCTGTCCAGGGACAACAGATGAAAAATAGCCTTTTGGCTAATTCTGGTGCATTTGCAGGAATACTTATTAATGTATGCTATCCCTGTGAAATAATTAAATACATCTCAAACCCTACCTGTACAGCCTGCAGGAGCACAAGAAAAAGCTGTTATTGAATTAAAAAATTGATGATGTTACAGTTTTGAATAAGTTATCATCTTTTAAATGTATGAATTTGAAGTTCAAGTTCAGTTTTCTTCATGGGAACAGCCAACTTATCCTTTACATATAGGACACTTTATTTGATCTGTAACACTGCATAGTAAATGCATTGCTGTCCAACTGCAATAGTCACTGCTGCCATCCTCTGGTTTAGGGGGGAAATAATGTTAAAATAATGTTAAAGGATATTTAAAAACAAATCCTGCAGCCGGATTATCAAAAAAAAAAAAGTCAAAATTTTCAAGCTTTTCAACTAATGCTGCACAGACAAACTTGACTAAAAACATAACCTCCTTGGCTGGAATATATCAGATCTGATTGGCACAAATTTAATAATCATGTATAATTTTCATTCCATATTTCAAATATGATCATTTATCATGTATTTACGATTAATAAATCAACATTCGTACAGAAGAAACTTGCAAAAGGTTGCAATACTTTGCAAAGTGCTGAATGAATGGGAATGAGAACCAAGAACATACCTATTAGTTTCTTCTTGTGGATGCGAATAATGTGCCATCAGAAGCCTAATCAGAGCCCTCTAGTAAATTAATAAAGGGACACATTATTTGCTACAACTACTTTAATATAAAACTAACTTTTAAATATTTTAAATGGCTGCAAAATCACAACACTGGAAAATATCAAAATCTAGAAAAGTCTTTTTTTTTTTTTTTTAAATAAGTGCATTTGTTCTAGGATCGAGGAGGTAAAAGAGACATTTTGCCAATGGATCAAGAGAATTTACACTTAAAATAAGAAAACACAATTGCTTTGTCTTATTTTAAGTGCATATTATCTAATAATCTTATTTTAAGAGTAAAAATACTCATTCCATTGGCAAATCATCTCATTACCTATTCAGATTAAGGGTAAATACACTTAATTTAAGAAATTGTTTGTTATTTCTAGATTATTTTTCCAGTGAACAAATTAAACCGAATAGTTTAAAGGTTTGAGAAGCTGCAAGAAAACATCAAACATAAATTTCCATGCATAGGCTATATTAATTATGATGATTTGAAACAATTTCATCATCTTGTAATATGAATATTTAGAAAATCAGTGTAACTCCTTACAAACCCCCTTTAAATGGACTCATGTTAGATCAGGTGTTTGTTATAATTTAGCCTCTAATTCACCTGTAGTTTAGCTCCTTGCGCTTCTAGTTCAGTTGCAAGTCCACCATCCAGGATGAGAGGAGCATTACTGAGTATGAACCGTTTTAATTTATCGGATGATCCCATGGTAGACCCTGTAAACAAGAGCGGTTTATGGTTAAGCACAAAACAGTTAGTTGAAATAACTAATTTCTCTATAAGAAGGAGCTTAAAGGTCTGTACTGTGTTGTTTTTCCGGGTGAAAGGTTAACTGGTGCTTTCATGACGATCGGATTGTTTGAAAATAAAGGAATCGGTTTTCACCACTAGATGGCGATAAAGACAATAATTGTATTAGTTTGAGACGGATAATATTCAATGCGGACCCACAAAGCAAAAAAAAAAAAAAGGTAATGTATGAAAAATCGTGTAAGTTTTAGAATGGTTTTAATAATTACTTGGCTAATTATACATTCTGACCCGTACAAATACAGCATATCGTTTCCTTCAACAAATTCACATTCAGCTACAATGTTCCGTGAACGCATCTCGAATGGAAGCCACTGTTACTATAGGAACGAAGCATAACCTGCGCTAGCTAACCTGTGGTAAAAGCGACAGTTAAGCGTATCGGGTCTTATAGGCTTACTAAGCTTCTTTAAATGGTGAGTTTACACCTTTAAGATTTTAAAAAATTGTTCTCAGAACGCTAGGCAAAGTTGGTGGTTTGATAAGAATGTGAGCGAAGTGGAAATGCTGTGGTCATCTAAAGTTAGCTTAGCAACATAGCCATAGCAAGTGATAGCTAAGTCCCGATGATTCAAATTGGAATGCATTTAATTATATAGAGCGTTAGACTTAAAAATAGTTAATATTTGTGCACTTTATTGAAGCTAAATGCTATGGAAACATCGAATGTATTGATCATGACACGCTATTATAGCTGATAGCCAAACAATGCTTCATTAAAAACTGTAGTATTTCACCTATTCTGTTACTATCTATTATTTTTATTTGTTACAGTTTTTTTTATTGGCTATATAATAGGTTAGAATTTTATATAGAATGAAAACAGTATGTACGTCCATTGTAGTTTTTCTAAACTTATCTGTTTTAGGGTCTCCTGCTCTCTGATGCAGGAAGAAATCATTAAACACACAATAACAACACAAAAACAATGCAATAACAGCTCACTTTTTAAAAGAGCAATGCTCCATAAGTTTTGGCACACTGTGGGTTACAAAGATATATGTTGTTTGTTCCCTGTAAACTCATTTCAATGATACATGTGGCTGCATGGCTCATTGCAGAATAGAGAAATGAACAAGGAGACACATTTGTTTTTTTTTTGTTTTTTTTTATCTTCCATCAGTCCAGATAGGTTCTGGTTAATATGTAGTGGTCTGTGCAGGATGGCGATGATACATCTTTCCACTTATTAAAGTGGTGTATGTTACAGATTATCTCAGTGATGTGGATTTAATGTGAACTCAATGACATGCGAAATGTCAGAAATGTGTGATGGAAACAACAAAAACTGCAATCTGAATCAAGAAGCTGCTATCTGAGAATGTTGGAAGCAGATTAATGAATATTTATCTTATCTGCCAAGTTTATGCTTTAAAGAATGCACTTTCAGAAAAGATGGAGCAGGGAGAACAGATTACTGCTTGACACATTTTGTTGGTCCATGAGGGCCGTCATTTCCCTGAGGATGTGCAACACAAGTAGTCCATGTACGTTTGTGTTTACGCCACTTTATTTTTAGCAGGACCTTCAAACCCATTAAGCAGCTAATAAAGAGATAAAACATCACATACCTGAGGAGACAAATGAACCATGCCTCCTTATGACACAAGGTGTGTCGATTGATTGATTGACTTTATTGATCTCACAGTGGAGAAATACACTAGTCAAGGTCAAGGTCACTCGTAATAGTCTATGCTTATTTAGGTTTTATTTTTTTTTAACTAAAATTTAGAGTATTTTGAATTAGTTCTGAGTTCATTAGTTTTGAATTCGTTAGTTTTAATCAATTTCAAGAATGCCAGGTAGGGCTGCAGGTCTCAACTCTTCCTCTTACCCATTAATCTGTTGCCAATTATGTATTTTGATCAATCTAAAAAGAAATACTTTCAGTGAATTAATATTTCTTAATAGAAAAACGGCTGGAAATTAAAAGAAAATCTTTCTAGTGCACTTTGTTTTATAAATGGCAAAATGTGAAAAATATTCAGTGTGCGTACACATATATGTAATGATATATACATATATATATATATATATATATATATATATATATATATATATATAGAAAGCAGATTTTGCACCTTAAATGGAAAACATTTATATCTTTTTTTTTTTTTTAGACCTTTATGTTTATTACTGCTGTAAGCAGCTTACTGTTTCAACAAAGGGCATGTTTTAGAATCTGTGTACCATTATTCTTGGTAACAATTAAACTCGATTACCAATGAATTGGCAATATTTTTATTATCCATTAGTCACAATTAATTATTTTAGCCCTAATGCCAGGTCTTAACTAGTTGTAAGATGCAGGACATTGTCAGAAACATTTTAGAAAAATTTTGGCTTTACTTAATGGGAAATCTTCCTCTCATATTCTGCCATAGAGTTTATATTTTTCTCCTGCAAGTTGTGACATAAAACCATCTGCTTTTAATCAAAGGTTTCTTTTTTTATTTCTTTGTCAGATTAATAAAAGTTTCACTTGAGTACAATAAAAAATATAATTTCTGTTACCACAAATCAAGATATTTCAGGCCATGCAAGGTTAACAGACCAGGTGTTGACTTTCTGTTACTTAACTCAAGCAGGATTTTGCAAATTATACAGACATGTGCATGACGGCATGCTGTGGAGCAGGATAAAGTGTAATGAATGAAAGTTGATTATTCTTACAGTCTATATCTGGTTCCTCCATAACTTTATCTGACAGTATGTTTTTTGTTTATGCAGTTGCAGCAAAATCTCATCCTTATGTCATTTGCGTAGCAGGGTTATTGTTTTTTTCACACATCTCTAAATCACCATAACTTTTCCAGGAGGACCGGTATGCTTTTCTCACCGAGTGGTGTGATCCCACAGCAGCCCTGGTGCGGCGCTACCACCTGTTCTACTACCCCAAAGATGGCTCTGTAGAGATGGTACATCTGTTGTTTTTTTTATTCCCTAAATCTTTAGTAAGAATGTTTCATTGTCAACTAACTACCAACATCTTTCATTTTCAGTTTGATGTAAAAAACCAACGGATATTTTTAAAAAGGACCAAATATGACGACATCCATCAAGAGGACTTGTTTGTGGGGAATCGAGTGAATGTTTTCTCAAGGCAGCTAAATCTGATAGATTACGGAGATCAGTACACAGCAAACAAACTGGGCAGCAAAAAAGAAAGGTAGGATTGGTTAGGCAGCGCAATAAATCTCTCTTATCCGCTTTAGATACTGTACACACTGTACCTCACAGCAATCAGCCCTATTGTGTGCAGGTTAGTGATCTCACAATAAGCCACAGACATGTAATCTGTTAACAAACCAGCATATGTTCCTTTTATATAAAATGTGAACTTTTAAACTTTTTACTTGACTTTAAGAGCAAATCTGGGAGATTTGTCTTTCTGGACATAAAGCAGAGGAAAAGTGATTTTGAAACTGACATTTTCTGCCTTTTTTTTATTGCAAAATAAATTGACCCAAGTCAGATTAGATAGACAGTCTCTGTAACCCATGTAGGCCAAGAAAAGTAACATTTCTGTTTCATTTTTACAAAACACCTTCTTTCACATGTTAGTGATGTCACTACAGGGTTACTGGCTTTAGGCTTTCTTTCAATTAAATTATGTTGCAATGGATTTTATTTGGTGGTATCAGAGCAAAGGGAGACTGGGTGAAAATACACGCCACACTTTTCAGAATTCGTTTTTAGTGGAATTATTTTCAAAAGCAAATAATCTAAAATTCTTAAGATCTTCTACTTCACAGAAAGACCAAAAACCATCTTAATATCAAGAGAATCAACATAGTTAACTTCTCAGATATCTAAATTCTAGCTGCTGATTGTTACAAAATCCAGGAATGATTTCTTCAAAGCTATTGTGAAGTAAAACCATCAAACTGTGCAGCGGTTTGTATTATGGAAAGATTTTAAACTATATTTGTTCCCTGGAGGACAGTGGACTTAATAGTTTTCAGATGGAGGCAGTTTAAAAGCTCCAGGGGTTTTTAGAATTGCTCATATGGTTAAATAAAGCAGCACAACAGAAAGCTCACAGACCAGGAAATGTGTGTGTTTATATTTGAAGAACTGCATACTACTTGGATGTAAAATCATTGCCATCATGGCTTTGTCAAGCTGCTGCCTACCTCTAGTGAAGCAGGAAAAAGACTAATACAAAGTGAATCCAGTAGAACTTTTTATTGCCTACCTGTAATGAGTGACAATAGTTGAATAAACTTTTGGCTCTAAAAATTCAATTCAATTCAGTTTATTTATATGGCGCCAAATTCACAACACATGTCATCTCAAGGCACTTTACAGTTCAACCAGATCATCCAGTCAAATTGATTCAGTTTTCTATCTAAGGAAAACCAGTTGATTGCATCGACTCATTGACTCAAATGCAATCCCTCACACTAAGCATGCTTGTAGCGACAGTGGAGAGGAAAAACTCCCTTTTAACAGGAAGAAACCTCCAGTAGAACCAGGCTCAGTGTGAGCAGCCATCTGCTGAGGCCGACTGGGGTTCAAGGAGACAGAAGCAGAGATACAAAAAGCAGCTGTAAAAGGCGGCCCCGTCCAGGAAACACAGCCAGGCAGACGAGCTCCGAGCCAGCTCCCATGTCAGAGGATGAAGAGAGCACATCCAGCCAGTCACGGTCAGAGAAACAGGACCGCACTGGAAAACAGGCCGATCTCCAGCATCTATAAACAAGGGTGTCAGTGCCCTATTTGTTTGTACTCGCCGATACCGATACCACCATTTTAGTGCTTGATCGGGGCCCCGCCCGCTACTGGTATCTGTATCGGTTCAATACTAGTTATAATACAAAATGGTACTCTGCTGGATTTATTTTTGTGTTTGAAAATTACACCAGTTAGGAACTGTTGGACAGTCCTAGAGCTGCTGACTCTAAGTGCTGGGGGGAAACTTAACCAATCAGAAATGTATAGCACCTCTCATAGATCACACAGCCCCGTCCAGGTGCTGATCTTAATTTCAAAGTGCCGTCT